ATTTGAAATTAACAAGTCAGATCTAACAAATTTAATAAATCTAAAAATAAAACAAAACAAAAGAAAAACAATATTTTAGGTATAGTTAATTTTTACTAAATTTAACAATATAAATAAACAGTGCGCTCTTGGGCGTTACTCAATTAGTTATATTTATTATTATAGATTATAATAATTTTAATATTAATTCACCAATGGATACAATAAATATCTGTCAATGGAATTGCCGTTCGGCAATGGCCAACAAAATAAATTTAGAAAATCTCCTAGCCCAAAATAATATACAAATCGCTATACTATCTGAAACTTGGTTTAAACCAACTCAATACGTATCTTTCTTTGGTTACAATGTTATCCGCAAGGATCGTCAAGATGGAAAGGGAGGTGTAGCTATCCTTATAAAAACAAATATCAAGTTTACTGAGACATTGTGTCCCACATTTAATAATATTGAGTACACAGGCATCAAAATTAAAATAAATAAAACCGAACTGAGTCTTATATCTGTTTATATTAAGCCACAAGCAAAAATCACGGTCCAAGCCTGGACTAGATTTTTTTCTGGCATTAAAAGACCCTTCTTGATCGGAGGGGATTTTAATGCACATAATGTAGCATGGGGATGTGCGGATAACGACATTTACGGTACAGATTTGTTGGAAGCAATAGACCAAAATAACATAATATATTTAAACAACGGAAATTTTACACGTCTTAACCCATCAGGAGGTCGACATTCAGCGATTGACTTATCCCTAACAACCCCATGTTTCCAACAACTATTAGAATGGAATACAATAGAAGATACATACGGTTCGGATCATCTACCAATAAAAATAATTTGTAACATCTCACCAAAATTTGTCCCTATAAACCAACTGAAAAAGTGGAATATAAAAAAGGCAAATTGGGACTTTTTTTACACTGAAAGCGTTGAAAAGTTTGGAAAACTAGAAAATAATACTTATAACGATTTTATAATCACTTTAAATAATGTTTTAGATATAAGCGTCCCGAAACTCCAGGTAAAAAATAATAAAAGTAAGGGCGGCAAATCTTGGTGGAATGAAAAATGTAGCAAAGTAGTTATGGACAGGAAAGAAATATTTTTAGAATACAAAAACAATCCTAGTTTAGAGAATTTAATAAATTATAAGAAAATAGATGCAAGAGCTAAAATAATTTTGAAGGAGGAGAAAAGGAAAAATTGGGAAAAATTTTGCATGTCTTTGAACAAAAATACTCCAATAAAAAAGGTATGGCAAAAAGTAAATAGTTTCAAAAACCGAAAGATGGAAAACAAAATATTAAGCAGTTTAGAAGACCCCTGGATAGAGGAATTTCACAATAAAATTACCCCACCTTATGTCACAAAACCAATATCCCAAAACAATATAATTACCTGCGACTCAAGTTCTCTAAACCAACCATTTGAAATAGACGATCTGGAAAGAGCTCTGAAAAACAACAATAACACCGCTCCGGGAAAAGATAATATACATTATTCAATGCTATCCCATCTGCCAATTAGCGCGAAGAAAATATTATTGAATATTTATAATCAAATATTTTCTGGAAATCACCCCATTCCTGAAGAATGGACCGAATACATTATAGTACCAATTTTAAAGCCTGGAAAACCTCAAAATTCATCATCATCTCACAGGCCAATAGCATTAGCTTCATGTTTACTGAAAACTTACGAAAGGATTCTTAAAAATAGATTAGAATTTTGGATGGAGAAGAAGAAAAAATACCCGGAGAGCCAGTATGGGTTCAGACGAAACCACTCTGCACAGGAAGTTCTAGCGAGACTGATAACCGACATTCAATTAGGGTTCACAGAAAACGAGAGTACTTCGGCTCTATTCTTAGATATACAGGGAGCATACGACCATGTAAATTACGACATCCTCATCAGAAAAATGGATAGCCTAGGAATCCCTTCAAAAATGACACATAACATATACCGTTTATATAATACCCGTTTAATATATATTAAGACAAACGAAGGTTTTACAGATTCCAGAGTAGCTAATATTGGACTTCCACAGGGAAGCATTTTAAGCCCTCTATTATATATCATATATACCTATGATCTAGAAACCTTGTTTGATGATAAAATCAAAATTCTCCAGTTCGCTGACGATGTATGTATTTACTCAAAAAACAAATCAATAACTAACAGCAACGACGAACTTAAACAAAAATTCTCAGAAACCGTAAAATGGTTTAACAAAAACGGCCTATCCCTCTCAGCTGACAAGTCAACACTATGTACATTTACAAGAAAAAGAACTCAACTACCACAAGAAATATGTATGATGGAAGATATAAAAGTTCCCTACAAAAACACAGTTAAATACCTCGGAGTAATTCTGGACAAAAAGTTATTGTGGAAAGACCATATACACTACCTTATCAAGAGAACCGAAAATGGAGTGAACGTTCTAAGAGCATTTAGTCACCAAAAATGGGGCGCGGACCCAAACATTGTATTAATGTTTTATAAAGCATATGTCAGATCAATTATGGATTATGGAAGCCAATTTTATGGATCAGCCGCAGAAACACATCTTAATAAAATTGAAGTTGTCAAAAATAAATGTTTAAGACATTGTGTGGGATTTTTGAAGAGCACTCCTGTTCCAGTGATTGAATCAGAAACAGCTGAACCACCATTATATTTGAGAAGAAATCACCTCAGTGACAAACTTTTGTTAAGACTCATTGCCAAAAACAGCGAAATAGTTACAAAAATACATAATCTAACGATACTAAATTATACAAAAAATTACTGGAAAATTAAAACATCTCCCCTATTAGTGATAAGTTATTCTTGGATAACCCAAATAAAAGATAATATTTATTCATCAGACATATCTCTTTACGGACAACTACAAGAAAATTTTGGTAAATATCTTCCAAACATCATAAATAATTCTTATGAACAGAATGACCCACATATTTTAAAAAACTTATTTCGCCAAGATATGGCCACTATCGGGCAAAATGTAGAGCATATATTCACTGACGGATCACTTTTGAATAATAACACAGGTTGTGCCTTTTTTCATAAAAATAAAAACATATCTAGGCAGTTTAGATTATTGAACAATACTTCAATATATTCTGCAGAACTTTGGGCTATATGGGAATCACTTAAATACTGTGTAGAATATAACGAAAATGATAATTTTGTAATATTCACTGACAGCATGAGCTGTCTACAAACTATTGTAAACTGTACTCACAGAGTTCCTACAAACTATATTTTAGTCAATATTCTAAATATTTCTAAACAGTTGAAAAATCTTAACAAAAAAGTTACTCTAGTGTGGGTAAAAGCTCACATTGGAATAACTGGAAACGAAATTGCAGACAAATTGGCCAAAGACGCCACATAGATCGAAAATTTTGCAAATCATTTTTATCTTCCACACTCAGATATTTTTAGAATATCAAAAAAACAAATGTATGATGAGTGGCAAGAGATTTTTGATAAATCAAATAAGGGTCAGATTTTTAAAACTATGTTTCCAAAAATTCGTAAAATCCCATGGTTTCACATCGAATCAAACAGAAACTTTATTAGAATAATTTCACGCTTAAGAAATCAACATGCACTATATCCAAAACATAAGAAAAGGATTGGTTTGCAACAGGACGAAAACTGTGAGTGCGGAGAAAGAGGTGATTTAGAACATTATATATTGGGTTGTATTAGACATAGAATGTATATAGCCAATATTTATGACGATATCCTTAAATTAGACTCAGTAGACTTACCTTTTAATATATATTATCTCATATGTATAGAAAATATACAAGTATATAAATCATTATATAAATTCATTACACATAGAAATATTACATTGTAAAACTACTAAAGAAAAAAAAAAAAAAAAAAAAAAAAAAAAAAATTAAAAAAAAAAAAAAAAAAAAATAAAAAAAAAAAAAAAAAAAAAAAAAAAAAAAAAAAAAATACTATCAAAACACTGAAATTCATAATCACTTATGATGTAACAACAAAAATATTAAGAAAATAATAAATAAATAAATAAATAAATAAAGACCTAAGAAAAAAAAAAAACAAAACAAAATGTCAATTAAATAACACAAACAAAAAAACAGACGATGGCAAAAAAATATATATATGTATGTATTATTATCTAAACTAATCTTAGTTTGTAGTTACCATTAAAAAATGAATTAGTACCTAAGGTAGTTAGAAAGAAAAAAAAAATACATAGATGAACAAAGAGAGATGCTGGCCAGTTGGTTTAAACCAGAGCCACTAAACGTATTAAAAAAAAAAAAAAAAAATCACGACTTTTGCATTTTGTTATGTTGGTGATTATTAAATTTGGCTTTGGACGGCCGACACATTTGATTTGGATTTTTTCCTCTAAAGAAAGCGAAGAAAATTTAATTGTTTTTAAATATTGCACGCTAAGGCTATCGGGGTTCAGAAATCCCGCCATTCTACACACAGTTTTCAGTTAAATCGCGCTCGAAATCGAAATAAATATAAAACAACCCCTTCCGATCCCAAAGTGCACTGACTACATGTGCACACCAGCCAGCTTAAAACATCGAACGTCGCTAGACCTTCGCGGGGAACAAAGAGTGCGGGGGGGCATAGTTCCACCAATTGGATTTAATATTGAAATGTGCAGTGAACGGGGCGATCAGGCGACGCGGTGGACGCTGTGATTCCAGCGTTGCCGGTTGCGTTTGTTTTGCTGGCGCATTTGGCCACTAATTTTTTAAATTAATACTTTACAGGTAGAATGTTAAAATTTGAAGAATGATAAAAATAAAATTTAAAGTTGTTTGATATTAATTTGGGAGTGCACGTGCACATGTGCTCTTATGGAGGAACCGCCACTGGTTCCCATACAACTAGAAAATAGTCAACTTTATTTATTTTAGTAGAACCTGTTATACTGCTTTTGTTTTGCTTTACTCAGTGTGTGGTACTTATTTGAAATTGATACCTCAACAGGAAGCAGCAGTAGCCGAAGACAATCTGAAAGTTTTTTTTTGTTGATGGATGTTATTGTTTGGAATTCATCATCACTGAAGTGAGCTTTGGTGACATACCGTTTAGACGGAGCAATTATAGCTTCTTCGCGCAATTTTGAAAACCACTGTGCCACTTTGTTGCCGTTCATCTCGATTCTTTGATCAATGGCGATAAAATCATTGTCTAGAAGATCTTAAGAAAAAAAAAGTTAGAAGAAAAATGCCACAATGTATAAAACACAATCTGTGATTTCATTTATACCACTGACCTTCATCAAGATGATCAACGAGGTGACCAGGGCAGCACCTTACATAGGTGCGAAAAAACTGAGCGTCTGTGGGGAAATAGATTTTATGTATTTTTTTTTTAATTCAGTGGCGCCCTATTATTTTTCAATCTGTACACACTATTGGCCCACACCTAATTATCCACTGAGTAAGCTGAGCACATTATGGGCCTCTTGTTAAACAATTAACAGAAGGGGTTACAATATGTACTCAAATATATTCCCATTCGCCTGTATGAATTAACCCATTTGCTTTGACTGAAACTCTTCTCAAAATGTTCTAAGATTGGGTATCTACGTTTTGACTATAATATGAGTTTTGTAGACCATGAAACTTAACCTAAACAATACAGAGTTGAAGACAATATTCTGGTGAAGTTTTTTCGAATATTCTAAGTATTGGAATTCAAAAACTGAATTTGAATTCCTTCGAGATAAATGAAAAACGCGAACCTCAAATTACTTTTTGTGATTATTCAGTAAGTTTGCATAAAATAATGTGTTAGACGAAGAAAAGTTTAAAAGAAAAACATTGTGTTAGGCAAAGTTGAGTGTTTCCATAAAATGTAGGGCCCAAACTTCGCCTTTAGCGGCGTCGGATTTCAAACTTATTGACGATATTTTATATGATGAAGTGCAAATTAATTTAATATGTTTCTTCAAATTTAATGAAGATATAAAAATATTGAATAATTTTGGACAAATTTCGGTTTATTTATTTTATATTAATCAGATTAACAATCTCTGTTGTAAATGTTACACCAATTATTGTTTTTATTTTTCTAAATAAATCATTATCGGTTTTTTATTTACCTCGTTTTTTGAAAGCTTGATAGGTATATGAATAATGGAAATACAATGTCGCAGCGGCCTCGAATTGTCGTTTATATATGCGCCAGAATATTTCGCAGTCGTACGACAGTGCTTACAGGCACATCCATTCTCCTACCGCTTCCGTTGTTAGGTGCATCACGAATTTTCTCCATCTTTTTATCTAGTTTATAATTCTTCTCAAGTCCTTCGCGGACCGTCTCTGTTTCTCCATTGACTTTTTTCAAATGTTTATTTCATGTTTTACCATATTTATTTGGCCGTTTCCTTTGAATATCTTGCTGTGTTTGTTTACGTTGTTCCTGGTTGTCTTTCAATCACATTTCTTTTTTTCTTTACCTTCCTGTTTTTCTTCAAGTCGGCTGGACTGAGACTCTGTAACGAATACCGATCAATATCTCTATCTCTATTGTCATCCCCTCTCTATTAATTTCGATAGGAGAGAAGAAGATGGCAAGTGCCGTAGCGAGGGGAATAACGATCTCTATCTATTACAGAGGCACACGATCTTCTTGTAATTGTTTTTTGAAGTCGACCCTGTTCTTATCGTTTTTCTTTTAGGTACTCTTTCCTCGCCTGCAAGTTTTAAGAAATCGAGCACCTGGAGCATTTGATCTTTTCCGATTCAGTTAATTTCCAGATTTGTATCATTTTCACTTTGTAGGGTTTTTAGAGTATTTGTTAATTTTTTTCCCAAAAGATAAACTATAATATTGTTCAGTTTTTTTCAATGAAAATCTGAGTGTGAAAGCTTTAGTACTCTGATTTTAAAGTTTCTGAATAAGTATATCTTTTTTTTTCTTGAAATTACTAATGATAGGTGTACAATTTTAGTATCTCTCTAGAAGTGTTAACTTAACTTGTAAAGAATTCTTATTAATTTTATTGTAATTGAGGTGCTTGATATTTTTCCTTTTTCTTGAGGTGGTTGCGTATTGGAGCACTAAAGTGGTTGTCGCTCCCAGATTTATATACAGTTTGTAAGATGTAATTTTTGTATGTGAATAAAGCCATTTTATTGTTATTATTATTATTATTATTAAGTGTTGGTTCATCCTAGCAATCGATTTTTATTTATTTATCGTTACTACTTAAATAGCATATCCTAAAATGCAGTGGAGTTGCTTTGTTCTTTTTCTATCAAGAATTGTAACTTTTAATAAAAATCACTAGAGATAGTAGGGTAGTTATCTGATTTATTAAAACACATTCAATTTTATCAACATTTTCCCAATGAAAAAGTGTGTTCATAAGAAAAAAGATTATTATGAGGAAACTAAACCGATGCAATTCATTATACCAATTCAGTGGTTGGAAAATCCCAAGAATCAACTTATAAAGGTCGAAACGTCAATTAATGAACAATTTGATCCCACAAGTTGTATATTTGACAAAGAACATCTCACACTTCTTATGGATTTCGGTCACCGACAGATTTTGTTGAAACTTTAGTATATTATTTTAGAAGTCGAAACAAGCATTTTATTTCATGGCACCGACCTTGTAGCGAAACAGGGTGATACTAAAAAATTAGGTCAAATATTTTTTTTCCATTATCTACTGTGAAATATATAGGTAATTTAAGTTTGGTTGATAAAATCAGGCATTTTTTTTCCAAAAATTAAACAATAAATATTCCAAAAGTGATATTATTTTAATCTCTAGCGTGTACAGGGTGGTCCAATTTGCACATTTTTAATAGGAAAAGCTTCACAACATTTTATTAATGAGAATAATTGATTTCGGTAAAAACTTTCTAGAAGCACCTCTTCAAGCAGAATCTGATGAGATTCTCAGCTTTTTGGTATTCCGCCAGTATTCCGAGATATTGACCAAAGTTCGATTTTTCTGAATAGGAAACCCTATATTCTAATAACTCATTGGATAGCCCTGCTTTTGCTGATTTCAATGATATAAAGTTCGATAGGATTATCTATAGGATTTTTTGAGAAAAAAATCAAAATCCTTTTTTGTCATGAGGACCTTTGTTTTAGAAAAGGACTATATATCTGTAAGGAAAATGAAAAAGGTCATTTCCCAACACATTGTTTCTTATGACAAAAACATATGTATATATTTTTTTTTTCTCGAAAACTGTTAGAGATTAACTTTGAGAAGTAGGTATTTGTCATTCCTAAGTATGTGTCCGAAGTACTGTAACTTTCGCCTTCTAAGCGTAAACATACCTTCAAGTTCTGTGACATCCTCGTAAGCACATCTTCATTGCGCACTTTGTCTGTCCAAGAGATTTTTAACATTCGTCTATATGTCCACCTTTCAGAAGCCTCTAGCTTTTTACACATGGCGTCTGTTAGAGTCCAGGCCTCAATCCCACAATAAAGAATACTGAAGACATATGAACGTAGTTATCAAGTGCAAACGGAGAGCGGAGAGACCTGACTACACCACACGGACTTCATTTTTACAAATGATGCTCTGGCTTGTTCATTCCTGGCATGTACCTCCTACATAATATCCCGGTCTTACCTTAAGAATACCTGCTCCAACCTGGTTCTTACCATCTATTTAGTTTTTTTGGCGTTCAATTTTAATCCAAATTCAGTAGCCAAATGATCAAGTACCTAATACTTGAAGACCTTCCAGAGAATCAGCGACCAAGACCGTATCGTCGGCATATCGAGGATTGTTAATGTTCACGTCGTTGATAGAAATTCCCTCAGTGCAGCAAAAAGCAATGGTGAAAGGATGCAACCAGCTGGACACCTCTCTTTATACGTACTCCGTCAGACATTTGTTGGTCTACCTTGATTTGTGCAGTCCGATTCCAGTAGAGATTTGCAATTATCTTGAGTTCCCTATCATCTAGGCCTACATCTTTGAGAATTTTCATAAGCTTCCCATGTTGTACCCTGTCAAACGCTTTCTCATAGTCCACGTAGCATGCGTATACAGGAACAGAAACATCTCTAGATCTTTGATCTAGCACTTGGATACTAAACAGGGCCTCTCTTGTGCCAAAACCGTTACGAAAACTAAATCGGGATTCGCCCGTAAAGGACTCGCACTTTGTGTATATTCTTTTATGGATGATCTTTAGAAAAATCTTGAGATAGTGGCTCATTCAGCTAACAAGCCGATAATCGCTACATCTTTTTGCGGAGCTTTTCTACTGAAGCGCCACAAATGTTGATATAAGCCAGTCAGAGGAAATGATGCCGATAAACGCACATGCAATATAAATAAGTATTATTTTATCAACTAAAGTTAAATTGCAATATTTTACCAATAAAAAAAAAAAACTTTGACCTGAGTTTTCAGTATCACCCTGTATTACTACAAGGTCGGTGCAATGAAAGAAAATGCTTATTTCGACTTCTCAAATAATATACTAAAGTTTCAACAGAATCTGTCGGTGACCGAAATCCATAAGAAATGTGAGATGTTCATTGATAGCTAACCAACTATCCGTAATTTGTGTTTCATAATGTTAATTTTTCTTTGTTTTATGAATGACTACCTATGCTATTTTATGTTGAATTTTGAAAGAAAAATAGTGGAATGTAAATAAAAAAATGAATAATAATATAGTTATTTTGAAGTTGATATAATTATTACTGATGGATGACAATTAAAAAACTCTTACCTCCTAGTCGCAGCTCAGCACTTCCTTGAGTATTTTCTTTTTCATTTTCTACAAAGCACTGGTACATTCCCTTATCATGTCTTGTCACATCATTAATTTGCAATAATAATGGATCTAACAATTTTATATTTCCGTTTTTCGTCGGCATAAGGACTTCCCCATTTTTGAACCATCGAATGTTGCCTATTGGAGTACCGGACACGGTACAGTTGAAAATAGCATTTTCTCCAGAGTTTAATACCTGTAACAAAAATTAGACAATTTTAAAATAATAACCCAGTATTTCCAATTTTCCCTTTGTCCTGATTACATTACAACTAATTTCCATGCAGATCACAGGGACTGCCCAAAATATTTCGCGATAAGCGAACTATTTTATATATAGGGGACAAAAAGAATTCCCCTGGCACGAAATTCAATCAAATTTGCAGGTTTGAATATAGTCAGGGCAAGGGACTGGACTCTAATGGGCTCCTTGAAAATTGCAATTTCCCTTCAAGTTGATAACCTACGAGTTAAACTTTATTTCTGTTTCGAGAATGCCTTATAGTCAAATACTCGGTCGAACCTATTGTTCGTAGTTGTGTTTACCACAACTTGGCTTTGAAGCCTATCCTATGGGATAATAACTATTATTGTATAAGAGGCGATTTTGGTCCGCGCTTAGAAATATTGATAAATACATCTATTAACACAAACAAACCATCAATAGAATAGTAATGAAGCTTTGCATACATTAGGGAGTTAGGTATTAGGTATCCATATGTGATATTATGTTTATATTATTATACTATTTGTTGAAACAGTATTTATTGGAAGAATTCTTTCCATATATACATTAAGTATGCATACTCATGAAAAATCTGACGGCCAGTGCTGGGGTATTGCTCAACAGATTTGAAATCACCTATCCATATTGTACTTGCCTAGGAGGAGAAATGACTGACCAATAATGATTTCGCAGCAATAATTAAAGAATGTTCAATTCTATATATATTTTTACATATTTGATTTCTTTTCCTCGTTCTAGGTAACAACTTTTTTTCCCATTTTTTTTTGAATAAAACAAAAAAAAATCCTTTTCTCTTCAGCCTGTTCGAGTTGCTATCAATCAATCCTTACATACATTCTTCCTAGCAAGCAATGCATTATCAATTGTATAGTCGTAGTTGCTGATATTATGTTTTTGTGGAAAAGCCATTACTGCACAGTCAATATTCAAAGATAAATTATTTTTTTTGAAAGACAATGATACCCCGATTGAAGTCACTTTGCAATTCACAACAATCCGTTTGGCTTCTTATCCGTCTAAATATTTTGAAATCATCAGCAAAAATAGGACTGGATGAGAAATGAGGACTATCAGGCACGTTATCGATGAACATTAAAAGAAGTAGGGAACCCAGGTTACTACCTTGTGGAACTCCTGAGGTGACCAGGAACCTGGAAGATCTAGCTTCTCTCACCTTAACCCTCCATTAGGCGCGCGAGGTTTTATAACATTATTAGTTGCGCTGTATCACAGAGATACGTGTACTAAATCCTTGATAAAAAAATTGAATTATCTGATGAATTTCGGTTTTAAATTTTCTATGTATTTATTCGTGTACTCAACAATCACTTTTTACTGAAAAAGAGATTCCAGAAGTTGGATTCTGTTTTCGCAGTCGTTACAGTTTGGCCAACAACGCGCGGCAGCTTTACCATAATATTATGTGGTGTCTTCCCAGTCAGCTCAGGAGGAATTTTTTTCTCATCGAGTTCCATCTTCACCTAAGATGAACAGCCTCTTGTACCATGATATTTATATGAATAAATACCAAGAAAACAGTTACAATTGAGGAGCACCGATGGTAATAAGAAAAGTCGCATTGTATCAGTCAGGCACAAAGCCGAGCGCACCCCTAGTTTTTTATAAGTTCAAAATTTCCAAGTAGAGGTATGACCATAAAATTTTGGGAAAGTAATTAGTATAGGGTATCTAAGGACTACTACAAGCCATAATATTATAGGGTTTTTCCTTTTTGATTTATTTGGAAAAATAATAGGCATGTATCTCTCAGATACACGCGCGACTAATGGAAGGTTAACCCGCTGGAATCTAGATTCCCGGGAAAAATTAAAACTTTCTAGCTTCGCCAAAAGAACACTATGGTCAACCCTATCAAATGCTTTTGCAGTCAGTCAAGACCAAGTCCAACTGGCCTTTTTCGTTTATTGCCTGCAAGGCAGCATTGTTTAGTACGAATAGATTGGTTGTTGTTGTACAATCAAGCAAGAAACCATGCTGGTTTAGAGAGAACTTGCTCAATAAATACTGGAGTAAATAATTGTATAACACTGATTCGTAAATTTTTGCCAATACGTTTAGGATAGTTATAGGCCTTCAATTTTCAATTTCATTATTATTGTTCCCAGTTTTTAAAATTGGGGTTATAATTGATTCTTTCAGTTTGTCTGGAAACTTTTTTGTTCTGATGGACAGATTAAATAAATACGCCAAGGGTTTCACAAAAAAATCTGAACAACCTTTGAAGATACAAGGAGGAATATTGTCCTCACCAGTTGCATTTTTAGGTTTCAGATTTTTGATACTATCCCTGATATGCTCTTCCGTTATATGAGAAAAACGAAACTCACCATCCACACCAGCCCAATAAAGGGGTTGATGAACTGATAAACATTGAGATTAAATGACTGGCAAATGCGTCGGCGATTCCCTGTGAGCCATCAAAGACCTGCCCATATTAAAAAACAAATGCGTATTTCATTTGTGGTTTATGCAGCTGTGAATAAATTTAAAAGCGATGGATACTAGGGAACGAAACTCCCATAACTGTTGCACATTAAAAGGCTTCAAACATAAGCCGTATTCTGTTGCATAACTGATAAAATTATCTTTTGACGATTCATCTCCTAAATTTGAGCTTTATCGCGGAAGTGATGCAGCCCAGATTTTTGTTTATCGCTTAGAAAACGATTTCAGACATCTTTATAATACCTATTGTTAAGATATTGAACCAATGAATCGTCTCCTCCTGATGGAGGATTTCAGAAATTCAATAACATGTGGTATTTGCAAGCAACCATTTAATCAAAATGATGTTAAACTGAAATACCACTGTCATATAACGGGACAAAAATTATTTGGTGCTGCTCATTCTATTTGTAATTTGAACTATAGATTACCTAATTTTGTCCCCATCATATTTCACACTTTCACTGGGTGTGACTGGATTTTTTTATTAAAGAATTTTGTCATCATGATGTTAAAATTAATGTTTCAGCTCAGAGCAAGGAAAGAAAATATCTTTCAAAAAGAGTGTTTTTGTACACGACTACATGGACCGGTTAATTAAAATTAAAAAAAAGATGCATCTTTAGAAAATTTGGGTGATGGATTGTAAATTATTGACAGGTTCAGAGAAACACGCAGGTATTTTCCCGGTAATGAGGAGTTCAATTTAGTTCATCAAAAGGGTGTTCCCTCCATAGTTTCATTGATTTAATGGAAAAGACAAATTACCCAACTCTTCCAACGAAAGATTGGATTTTCGATACTTTACACAAGGAAAATATCAGCGGTGAATGTTACGATAAAGCGAAGAAGTTTTGGTGTTTCATTTTAAGGACTTGGATGAATATTCAGATGATCTATCATTTGACACCAACTTTGAATTTAACCGGAGATTAAATTTAATTGGGATTTTTCAATTATGGATTAAATCAAAGTTGGTGTCAAACGATAGTTTATGAAAATCTGAGAAGAGAATGTAATATCGGTTTTAATCTGAAATTAACCGTTTAGGTTTTACGGCCTGTCAAAATTACAAAAGAGACAATTTTCAACTGTCAATATGTAACGTTTTCAATTTCTTGGCTAATAAGCTACCTTGTTTTGCTTTAGTAGATATGATTCCATATAGAACTACAATGAAATAAATGAATAAACAACTATCTTTTCTGTGCCCAGATTTTGTTACCTTGAGTACTGCCTTCTACTGAAAGTTTTTTTTGGTGCAGGTTTGCAAGTTTTGTTAATTGATCTAGGAAGGTTTGATTCAGTACGGCAGGGCCCGCTGTTATTGATTAGAATCTTAGGAAAAGGAGTTAGTACCATCATCATATCTGTTTGCAAATCCAATCAATAATCTGAGGTTATGATAATAATTGTTGTTTACTCTTTGACTTTTCATTTCCATCATGTCATTGTACAGGTGTTTTGTCTAGGCGTTTTCTTTAGACCTGTTCTACCTTTTGATATATGTTCTATAGGCACTTTTCAACATTCACCAGCCATTTTTTACACAACCAATTCTCAGTTCGTACTTTTGGGGTGAAACTGAACACGTCCTTTTCTATAATTTTCTTCAATGTCAAAATTAGAAGTTTGACAGATGAAAGTCTTCTTCCGAAATCTAAATTCTAAATGAAGAATCTGCCCTTTTGATCTGCGACCTCACGCTGAGTAGTCGTCCGGTCTCGGGCCTCGGCCCTAATTATTTTTGGGGCGAGACTTTTTGGAATTTTGTGCCAGGGAGCTCAAGTTTTAGACTAATTTCTTGCTGATAATTGTCTAGAGTCGTCCCTTGGTCATTTTTGGATTCTGTTTCGGTAAGTTTGAGATTTTCTTCAGGAAATATTAACCTACAACACGTGTTCCATTTTTTTAATAGGACTGTTCCGAGCAGCATTTTGAAGTTTAAGACTTCACCTTTGGTCTAGAGTATCCCTCAATTTGAGGTAAGATTACATTTGGTGGCGCCCAAAGGTAAGATGTATACAAGGAACCCATAGACCCATGGCCTCCGAACTGAAGCTGACTAGCCGTAGCAGTATAATTAGGCAATTGCCAAAATAAGTACGTTATAAATATTTCCAAAACAGTTGAACTTAGGTACAGGGTATATCATATGAAATCTGTTCAGAATCTTACGTAGAATCCAAATATGCAATCACATATAGGGTGTTTTATTTGAAAAAACAAAGTTGGTCTGGATAGAAAACAAACCAGAAGTGACAGAGACAGTTCGTCTCGGTAGAAATGTGGGAAATAATTTATTGAGCAACTTTCATCCAGGTCACGTTTTCGTATACGGGGTAATTAAAAATCTACAGGTATTATGCGCGACTTTTTTGCCACTCCGTATTGATTTCAACATAATATTGCGGAATTTGTCAACCACAAATTTTGGTAGGGATTCATTCAAATTAATGAATTCGGTTTTTGGCAAGGCAATGGAAAATATGGAAAACCGTAAAGATATACAATTAATAACATAGTGGGAGAACAGTCTCGGTAGAACTGGAGCATTAATAGTTCGTCGT